GGCTCCCCGCTGCCAGAGCCGCAGCGCCGAGGCGGAGCCGGCCGCGGCGGGCAGCCGACCCCCGCACCGCGCGCGGGGCGAGCGGCCGCGGTGAGGCGCGAGGGTGGCGCGGGCGCAGCGCCATGGGGGCCCTGACCAGCCGGCAGCACGCGGGCGTGGAGGAGGTGGACATCCCGTCCAATTCCGTGTACCGCTACCCGCCCAAGTCCGGTGAGGGCCGGCGGGCGCGGGCCGAGGCGCCACCCGGGGCCGGGGGTGGGAGGTCTGCGGGCCGGTGCACAGGGGTCCTTGGCTGGGTCGCCGCGGTGGCCGGCCGGCCCGCCGCCCGAGGACGCGAGCGGCCTGCAGGCCATGTGCCCGGTGGCAGAGACGCGTGCGGGGGGACTGCGGCTCCCGAGGGGCGGGGTGCCCGCGGCCCCGACGGGACCCTTCCTCCGCGCCCGGTGCGCCTTTTCCCCTCGGGAGCTGATCTCTCTAGGGCTATTTAGCTTGATCTAGGGGAGGCGGGCCTGGCATCCGGCACCGGCGCCTGTGCTGGGAGGCCGGCCGGGGTCCGCGCATCCAGGCCTCTGGAGAGGGAGGCACGGGCGCAGGTTGGAAGTAGGTTTCTCAGGGCGAAGCTTCCGATGCCTGCTGGAGGATGGAGGCCCAGAATGCGTTTGCAGGGCTGCGCTTTTCAAGAGGCTGTCAGAAGCCAAAAGAAGTGTTTAACAGAAATGTTTGGGAGTCTGAGTATCAGAGTCAGCCGGCTTGTCCCTTTGCCAGAGTAGCGGCAGACCTGGTTTTTAGAATGGGGATGGCTTGGGGACAGGGCAGAGGTATTTAAAATGTATAGAAGTATCCGTTTGTTTTCAGAATCATTAAAAAGGTAAATGTGTCCAGCCTCTGGGTTGTGGCATAAAGCGTCAGAGGTGGAGGAGGATTTTGACAGCGAAGGATAGAGGATCACAAGTGGATTGAGCACCGGCCAGTTCTGGACTGCTGGTGCATGACCTAACTCTATGCTCTTTATTTTTCATTGCTTTTCTCAAGACTTCTGGGGGACCGGTGGCTACCATCTTCTCTTTGGCCTAGGACCTGAGGAGGATTTTGGTGATCTTGGAGAGGTGTCAGAATTAGAGCCTTAGAATAAAGACATGCTAATGAGATGAGCTGGTTTCCCAGCAGTGTGTCCAGTCTGTGCCAGGTGGAAGCAGGGACCAGACAATGGACCTGCACCCTGCAGAGTGTCTGCGAGAGCTGTGTTTCTGATGCTTTTGTGCCAAAGCATGAATCCTTGCCGACATGAATATGATTAAGAGCTGTTTTAGAACAGTCTAAGATAAAGCTGCAGATCTTTAGCATTTTAATAAAACTCTAGCTAATTACGACTATATGAAACCAATGCCAAAAGAAGCATGCACTTTGCTTTTTAATAGACAAAAATATGCACAAGTATTTGTGGGTTGCTTTTTTTTTTTTTCCCCTGAAATCACTTAGCTCTTATTGATCACAATATGGAACATGTTTTGCTGAGCTTGGAGATTTCAGTAGAGTTTGCAGTCTCAGAAGAGGAGTCACCCTCCCTTCACGTGTAGGAATTAGCATAGGTAAATCTCTGGAAGGCTGTTCCCCAAAGGATAGTAATACAAATATGAATCTTGGTTGATGATCATAAAAGGATCAAAAGGCCAAACTAAAACTTTTCTGAACCAAAACACTCAGTGCTAACAGTCCGAAATAATTCTCTCCACTCCGTCCGTGTTTTAAAAGTGTTAACTAGTTGTAAATCATTTCTAATTGGAAATTATGTATGTGAGAAATCTTTACAACAAGGGGACCACATTATTTATGTTGAAGATAGAACACAAAAAATAAGAATCAGGAACGCCTGGGTGGCTCAGTTGGGTAGGCATCTGCCTTGGGCTCAGGCCATGATCAGGCTTCCTGCTCAACATGGAGTCTTCTTCTCTCTCTCCCTCTGCCCCCCCCCACCCCGGTTCTCTCTCTCTCAAATAAAAAAATAAAATCTTAAAAAAAAAAAAGAATCATAACATTCAGGTCCCAGTCAGCAAACCTTTGTGTACTTGAGAATTTCCGTGAACTTGTTTATGCTCTAGTGTGGAGGCATCTCCCACCCTTCATCTGATCTTTAAATTGACCTGTTTTTTTGGTAGAATGATAGTATTGTAGACCTGAAAGGAACCTTTGAGAGAATTTGGCCCAAGATACGCTCATCTCACCGATAAGAAAATGGAAGTCAGAGAAACAAATTAGTATGGCCAGGGTCACCCAGTTAGTGCTCTTCTCTATAAGCCATCAGCCTCTGCCTTTCACAAGGAATTGGACTTGTGATGATTTGTGGAAAGGAAGCTGTTCTGCGCCAGGACTGAGACAAAACTCAAAGGCCTGTCCTTGTTGAGGGATCAGACTGGGTTGATTTTGAGAAGTCTTACCTTTTTTTAAAAAATATTTTATTTATTTATTTGACAGAGAGAAACAAGGCGAGAGAGGGAACCCAAGCAGGGGGAATGGGAGAGGGAGAAGCAGGCTTCCCGCGGAGCTGGGAGCCCAATGCGGGGCTCCATCCCAGGACCTGAGCCAAAGGCAGACGCTTAATGACTGAGCCACCCAGGTGCCCGAGAAGTCTTCTTATCTTCAGTAGTGATAGAGCAAAGCAAATAGCAGAGTCTGCTTTCTTCAGGTGACCGGCTAAGCCGAGACCTCTGGCTCTCTGGAAAGTCTCAAGCTCTGCTGCCTGTGGAATAGTTTCAAAAAGCAGCTCTGTCATCCGCCCCTGTCTTGATGGTCACAGTGCCCAGCAGAATTGCTTTCCTTATTTTGTATTTTTAGAGGAACCCCTTAGTTTTGTATGCTCACTGAACTGGAAATATTTAGAAATTATTGAGAACAGTGGATTCCATGTTGAAACTTAGGTTTCATTTTTTTAGAGATGGGGGAAATAAAATAGCCTAAATTTTTTACAATTATTTATTTTTGGGGGCGCCTGGGTAGCTCAGTCAGTTAATTGTCGGACTCTTGATCTCAGCTCAGGTCTTGATCTCGGGGTCATGAGTTCAATCCCCACATTGGGCTCCACGCTGGGTGTGGACCTACTTTAAAAAAAATACTTATTTTTTGAATGAGTAATATAAGTTACATGATTCAAAGTTTTTTTTATTTTTAAAGATTTTATCTATTTATTTAGAGAGGGAGTGTGAGTGGGGGCGGGGGGGGGTGGACAGAGAGGGAGAGAAAGAATCTCCAGCAGACTCTGAGCAAAGCCAGAGGCGGGACTGGATCCCATGACCTTGAGATCATGACCTGAGCCGAAGGCAGACGCTTAACCGACTGAGCCACCCAGGCGCCCCCACGTTTCAAAATTTAATAGAATGAAAAGTCATGCAGTGAAAATCTTGTTCTCACTGTACTATTCATCTACCCATTTTCTTCCCATACACCTCCCATCCCTGTGTAACCACTTTTGGTTTCTTTGGAATTGTTCCAGTTTCTTGTGCAGATAAAAGCATAACATACATTTTAGACTGTTCTGCACCTTTTTTCCCACTTTTTAAAAAAGATTTTATATTTTTAAGTAATCTCTATGCCCAGTGTGGGTCTTGAACTCACAACCCCGGGATCAAGAGTCACATGCTGTACCGACTAAGCCAGCCAAGTGTCCTTTTTTTTTTTTTTCCACTTTTAGGGATATTGGAGGTCTTTTTATATTATTTCCATATTAGAGAGTATCTTTGTTCTTTTTTTTTTTTAAGATTTTACTTATTTATTTGACAGAGAAGCACAGAGAGAGAGGGAACACAAGCAGGGGGAGTGGGAGAGGGAGAAGCAGGCTTCCCGAGGAGCAGAGAGCACGATATGGGGCTTGATCCCAGAACCCTGGGACCATGACCTGAGCTGGGATCATGACCTGAGCGGAGGCAGATGCTTAAGGACTGAGCTACCCAGGCTCTCTGTTCTTTAACAGCTGTATAATATTCCTTTGTGTGCTAATGCCCTGTTTTAACATAGTCTTCTGTTGATGAACATTTGGGAGCTTTTTGTTGTTGTTTTTTCAATTTTTTACTATTGTAAACAGTGCAGCAATGATGGATGTTATACAAATGTTCTTAGGTGATATTTGGCTTTCTTAATAAATACATGATTTTTAGTCATTTAAATAACAAGGCATGGTGAGAACTCATTTCTAGATAGTATTTCTGCATTAGCATAGAAAGCTATTTATAGCACTGTTCTGCGTTTGGTTGTACCTTTGTGATTTTTGAGTTAGAAGCTATGCATGCTTTTAAATCCTTCTCTAAGATCTTCCCTTCTTTAAAAGCCCATGATCATTTGTTTAGCAAAGGTATGGCTTTGCTGAGGTGGTTGTTTTTATGCATGCATGCTCATCTTTTGAAAGGGGTATCCACGTTAATAAAAGTCATTAGGCCTGTTTTCTCTATCCAGCAAGAAATGGGCATACTATAAAGACAATTTAATTCATTGTAATTCAGCACCTAATGAATCTAGTTTATTTCTTTTTACATATTTGAGTAAATTGAAAAACGAGTAATTCATTTTGCTCAGGTTGTTTTTGTTGTTGTTGTTTTAAAGATTTTATTTATTTATTTATTTGACAGAGAGAGATAGTGAGAGCAGGAACACAAGCAGGGGGAGTGCAAGAGGGAGAAGCAGGCTTCCTGCCAAGCAGGGAGCCCGACGTGGGGCTCGATCCCAGGACCCTGGGATCATGACCTGAGCCGAAGGCAGATGCTCAATGACTGAGCCACCCTGGCACCCCTTGCTCAGGTTGTTAAGAGCTAAACTTATTATAAAAATTCAGAATGGTAGAGTCCTGAGCAATTAGCATCGTTATTCTCCAAATTTTTGTTACATTGGAGTACATATATGCTTATCACGTGGGTCTGTCCTATGGCAAGAGCAGTTTTTGAAGCACAGGTCATCAGGTGCCTGGGTGGTGCAGTCGTTAAGCGTCTGCCTTCGGCTCAGGTCATGATCCCATGGTCCTGGGATCCAGCCCCGCATCGGGCTCCCTGCTCCACAGGAAGCCTGCTTCTCCCTCTCCCACTCCCCCTGCTTGTGTTCCCTCTCTAGCTATCTCTCTCTCTGTCAAATAAATAAATAAAATCTTAAAAAAAAAAAAAAAGTCTGTCGCTTAACTGACTGAGCCACCCAGGCGCCCCTCAAATGCTAGTATTATTTTTTTAAACACT